TTTTATTTTTTCGCAACTTCACAAACCAAGGTGCGATGGTCACCCCTGTCTATTAGCCCTAAAGATTGCGTACTCGGTAATCTGAACGTAACATATGGCCACTTTCCTGTTAGCGATTCGCAAGTAGCTATTGTCTTTTTGCCGAGACTGTCTGATGGAAATGTTGGTGGTCGTTATACAAAGGTTAAAGTGTGAATAGGTCTACAATAGGGTGGTCGCTGGTCGCGTTGGACAGGTGGTCGCTATATCCAATGTCTTAAACGTGTAAATTGCGAAGGGACTGTACTAAGGTGGTCGCTATGAGCAGGTGGTCGTTAACACAGGTTTGACTGTAGTAAATAAACTTGGGAGAACAATCTAGTTGGTTGATGATAGGACTGATGTCATCTTTTTATGTAGTAAAAACCTGAAAATCTATCTCTACATATATATGGTTGATGATAGGACTGATGTCATCTTTTTATGTAGTAAAAACCTGAAAATCTATCTCTACATATATATGGTTGATGATAGGACTGATGTCATCTTTTTCTGTAGTAAAAACCTGAAAATCTATCTCTACATATATGTGATGATGATAAGCAAACAAAAAACAAATTATTTATCTAAGAAGAACTGTATTAATTTTCATTGGTATATTTTGATATTTCAAGCATATATATTCACTTTATTTTAAATTTTCAAATTTGATTGTTAAACAATTAGTTCTTGACATGGTTGCACGGATCTCACTTATCCATGAAAAATATAAAATTACTGTTAAAACTTTGATGTTTTTATATTAATTTATATTAATGATATTTTGTTCATGCATAGGACATTGAAGAAGTGTTTTTTTTTTTTTTGTAGGTGAACACTCAGGATCGTTTTCATTTAATGCCTATTGTGACTCCAGCTTATCCCCAACAAAACTCTACTTATAATGTGACTCTATCCACTAAAGCTGTTTTAGTAGAGGAATTCAAGCAAGGTGAGTCATAGTCTGAAAGTCTAACTTCTGTAATACTTGGCATATAGCCAGTCATTCATGCATTAACCGTTTCACACCAGTTCCCTCTTTTCATCACAAATTCACAAAAAAGTCCTGTTCATAGTCTGCACTTTTTTTCAAAAAATTGGGACAAAAATAGTCAAACCTTTTGAATAAAAACTGAAAACTGACTCAAATTTTGTCTGTCGGCTCATTTACAGAATTTTTGAAAAGGTGAAAATGTTAATGTCATTTCAATAGCACTGCACATTAATTGCAAGTGTCATGTGTGGTACTGTAAAACCATTTATTTTCACAAACATTAATTTTAGTATTTTGAGCAATTTCATGAGGAAACAAAAAGTTCTATTGTTACTTTACATGATCACATAAATTTTATTAACTAGATTTTACTTACGAGTGTCAATAGCGAAATTAAAAACCTCTGAATAATTAATGACTTTACAGTGTTTTTCACATTTGCCAAATAGTATATGCCGGTATTCAGATTTGCTATTTATAGAAAGATGTTGTAGCATGCTTGTCTTATAGTATCTTTATTTAGTTATATTTGTGTATCATTGTGATAATACAAAGTAATTGTTTTCTTTATAGGCCTTTCGGTTACAGAAGAAATTCATCTTGGGAAAGCTGACTGGGCAAAATTGTTCGAACCAACCAATTTCTTCCAGAAATACAGGTAGTTAG